AATATTGAAGTACAAATATTAATCAAACATATTAATTTTTATGATCCGATAATTGAATCATTTTTAATCCAGTAATTATTTAATAATTAGTGATAATATTAATTTAAATTTATTAGATAGCAAAACTTAATTAAATTTAAATTTAAATATATTGATCATTTTTAATTTAAATATTATTTCATAGTTAAAGAAATATCAGTTACAAAAGTTTTCATATACTATATGAAGTTAACTAATTATCAAAATTAATAAATAATTTTGTTTTATATCAAATATTGTAAATATCATTTATAAATAAAACATAACTATTGAAAAATTATTATCTATTGTATGATAGTTCAAAGAAGTGAATGATTTCAAGGGAAACGTATCTGATATAATTCTTTTATAAATAGTCAAATAAAGGTTATATGACATTTCTTTATATAAAATCATATATTTTTTTTCAGCATTTTCTATAAAAAAATGTATTGATTTATTTACATCGAAAAATCATTAATTTAAAAAATTTTTTGATTTTAAGTATAGCTAAATTTCCTCATAAAATAAAAGCTTAAAGACTTTTGGAACTAATTATATGTGTAAACTGAATTCGAAAATAAAAAATTTGTATAAAACTTCATTTATTGAATCAAAATATTATTTAGTTTATTCTTTCACATATGAAAATGTATATGAATTTATTTATTTATTATATGAACTGTTTGTTCCCCGGCAGGTTCGGATAAATCGAATTTTGTAATACGAATCTTAAACATCTCCGATTCAATAATTTTCGATAGATTTACTTCTTTTTGTTAAAGCTTAAATTCTTTTTGGCTTCTGGTTCTTCGCTTTGGATATCAAAATTATGGACTTTTTTTTTATGTCTTTCGATAGTATTCGATGAATAGATTTAAAAAATACCACTTTTAAATTTAAGGATTCATTGGTTCAAAAATTATTATAAAAATTTACAAAATAATATAACATATTTAGTGATTGGTGCTTATACTACAGACAAAATTCTTCGTTTACAAAATAGTGGCAAGGAAGATATCCTATGTTGAAACTATAGGTAATGTAGATTTCTTCTTTTATATACATTCTACGTAAAAGTATTTAATTGTTAATTAAATTTTGACCGATTGAAATTAAATTTTTGGCATTTATAACATTTGAAGATTGTTCTATTTTTATTATTCCTATTCAGAATAGAATAGAAGAGTAATAAAAGTATCCAAGAGTTTAGAGAGTGAAAGTTATCATCATAATGTTTACTTGTGAAAATAGATTTTCAAGAAAAATTTTTAATACTTTTCTTAAATTCATTCACATCCCTGCAACTTACATTGAAATTTATTAATTTTTTTTTTAATCTCTATCCATCGAATACTTTTCGAAAAAGAAGCCAATAATTTTTGCTTCCCCAAAACGAAGTTCTTTCTCATCAGAAGAAACGAATAGTGGAACTTACCCAAACTTGCCGGTAGGTGCGTCTTGAAATCGAGAAAGGGACTTGGTGGCGGGTGAGTCGGTGGAAAATTCATAGCGGGACCGTATCGCCAGAGTAGCTCAGTAGGACTAAAAGGTAAAGATATACCGGGTGGTAGCCGAGAGTCCATTCCCGTCATTCCACCCCCGGCCGAAACCGGCGGTAATTGCGGCAGTTGAATCGACGGCAACAATTTCATAACACGTTCTGTACGTATGCTTTCTGCCCTTTCTTCTCTGGAAAACGATAATATACCATTCTCAAATACTTATTCTTAATCAATCAAATTATTTGTTGTTATTAAAATATTATAACACAATATTCTTTATTATCGCTTTTAAATAATTATAATTGTTTGTTTTCACATAATATTACGTTATTTATGTGCAAAATATAGGATAAAAACAAAAATAAATTACACTGGAGAAAAATAGTATTTATTTGGAATACTAGCGTCATCTTGTTGTATTTATAATCAATTTATTTTTGTTATAAGGTAATTACAATATTTCTAACATCATTGTAATCATTATAGCATATATTAAGTAGTTAAATTTAAGTATTTTATATTTTATATCAATGGTATTAACATATGATAACAATTTTATAACAAGAAAATGAGACGTATATAATATCATATGTATTTTATATTTTAGATTAATGATACAAGTAAATATAAAATAGTAAAAAATAGATTCGTTTTTTTTTAACCGCTTTGTTGTGATAATATTTGCGTTTAATGTAGTAGATATTTTTTCAAGATAAATAATTTTTTCTTTCAGCGATAAATTAAAGCTATTTTTAAAAAATTGAGTTAAAATTAAAAAAAAAAAAGCAATTGAATTATCTGAAATATTTTTGATAATCAGTCAATTCTGATTTTCAATTATCGATACAAATAATTATATATATATTTTAAATGAGAAGAATATATCGATTTATTTTAATTTATATAAAAAACTATCTAATAATAGAAAAAGATTATTCGAATCGAGGAAAAGGATAGAGAAATGTTGGCACGCGAAGGTCGTTGTGCCATTGTTTCACACCAGGAAATTCTCGTTCGGGAAGAGCGCCATATGAACCAATCGTGATACAGGGGAAGAAAATTACTAGCAAGAAAAAGAAAAAGAAAAAGAAAAAATGATGGTAAAAAGAAAGAATGAGAGATATGATACTAAACATCAATTACTTTTCCTTTCAATTGATTTTCAGCTTCAATATCGTTTACAATTATTTTTAAAGATCTATCAATTGTATTTATTCCTTGTTATTTTCATCTCTTAATCACTAATCATTTTGGCATTTTTATAAATGAAATCAAATTTTCGATTTTTAGATTTGCGAGAAAATCAAATTTGTAAGATAAATGAAATTTTTGAAAACTAAAATATTTATTCTTTTTTTTTCTTGTCAATCTATTTTGTAAAAAACTATAAATTTTTCTGGAATTTTTCATAGTCAACATATATAACGATAATTATTTTTTTAATTTATAAATTAAATTAAATCTTTATATATGTTTCGATTATAAATGTCAAAAAATAGGTGCAATAATTCTATAAGTTAAAAATAGAACATAAAAAAATCAAATATAAAAAAATTTCAATTTTCAGTTTTGTTCTTCAGTTATTGACAATCAGAAATTGACAAAAATATCCTTGGACGCGAGCAAACTGTCCTATACGAATGTAGGGCAGTGGTGAACATAGTGGTTCTCAAACGACAAAAAATAGTACAGTCGTGCAAGTCAGAAAATAAGATTACGATATTTTGATTCATAAATAATTGAAACGTGATATTTATAAGAAAAAATTTTGTAATTAGATTTCACAGTTGTGAAGACTGTATTATTCACAAAAATATGTAATATCAAATTGACATTATGGAATTTCTGTGCAGAAAGGATTAATGTCTCGTGCAAATTTTTCCATTTAATAAATAAATATATTGTGTTTCCAAAAAAATTGAAAATTCTTTGCATATTTCCTAATGTGAATATATTGTATATGAATAAGAATATATACAAATTAATTTCTGTAGAATTTGGACATATCAGAAAATGTTATACCAAAAAAGAATTACAGAGATATGAAATAAAGATTAGAAAATTTTTTGTATATCTCTAGAACAAAAGTTATAGGTATTTGTAATTGTAATATTTAAATCTCAGAATTGAATAGATCAAATCGTTCGTTGATCGATTCATTTTCCAAAATATTTGTGGTAAGTCTTTCTTGAATTATCATAAAATGTGATTGTTTTTATAACCACATTTTTCACATGAATTACTAAGAATATTTACGCATTAGAATATTCAAATACACACAGCTATTATACGAAATAACAAATAAACGAGTAAAATAATAAGAAAAAATAAAAAAAAAGCTCTAACAGATATCTATTTGATTATATTTATATTTAAATCTTTAATTAATTTATTATTTTATAAAGTAACATAATAATATAATAATATAAATTGAATAATATGTACATTATAAATTAAAATTAAAATACAGCTTAAAATTATTGCTTGGAATATTTTTTTAAATGTTTTGCTTTTACTGTTAAAATGATTATATGTCTTTACAAAACTGTTCTATTTTTTTATAATTTTTACAAGGTCTTAACTATTTAGTTAGAACACAAGATGATCGAAAATTTTATTCAGGAAGAAAAATTTACTTCATTATTAATTATAGATCTTCATTGTTATATGCTTTTATTTTGTATGTCAAACTTAAAATTGAAAAATTGGATACACTGTTCACCACGTGTAATTGAAGAACATTCTTGTTTATTTTGTTACATTTTTTAAATTTTATGCATTAATTTTTATTATTTTATTCATTTTAAGATATTCTTTTTATTTTCGTTTAGAAAAATAAAAGAAATTATTGTAATTTACTGTAATTGTAAATTCTTTTATTATTTTTTAAATACAAATTTTTACAATAAATCATCAATTCTTAATATTATAAATCATTAATTCTTTTTTTTATCCGCTTTTTTTTGGATTGAATAATATTTGAAAAATATAAATTCTTGAAATTTGAACGTAAAATATCCAAAATGTGAAATTGATACAGTTTGTGACGATATTTATAAATTTGTCCACTTAAATATGTATTATTATATACATTTTTCAAACTTTATTTTAATCCATTGTACTTTAATTTACTAAAAATTTTTAAGCAAAATGAAGTTATTTAATTGGAAAGTGACAATACAAATTTGCAATAGAATTTTTTCAATTGTTATAAATAATTAAGCAGTATCGCGAAATATGGTTAAAGGAAACATTTTTCAAACACATCTGGTGAACAGCATATCCAATATTTTCTCAATACTCATATCCAGATATCGTGACTGCCCTTTTCAATTTCGTGTTTGACACACAAAATGAAAACAATGGCAATGGAAGTCGTAAATTTTTCTTTTTAAATAAAGTCTTTGACCACCAACTCGTGGTATTTTAACTAGTCAAAATCTTGTAAGATTTTTGTAAAAAAAAGTGAAAAAAGTATATTTTTAAAGGGCAACGAAATATTCAAGAATTATTTAACGTTATAATTTTTATCATATAATTATTCATTAATTTATTATATATTAAAACGCATATTCTATTCAACAATAAGTTAATTAATCATTTTTATTATTTCTTCATTCGAATTGTTTTATGCATAAAGAAAAAGATTTTATGAGTTTAGATAATTGATTTGTAATATAGTAAAAATGTGATCTTTAGAAAATTTTTACAGCAGCATTTGAGAAATACATATTAAAATATTATTAAAAGATCTAAAATCAAATCGAATACAATAAAAACAAGTATTCTTCATGTGATATTTGATCTGCAAATCTAAAATTTAAATTTTTCCAATTTTTAGAAACATATGATTTATTTATTTATTATTATTTTTTTTTTGTTTGGACATATAAATTTTTTGGAAATTTATGATTCGTATAGAGTTTTTTATATTCTAAGTTTTGCATAAAGAGGATTATTATTATAAGACGAATTATAAGATGATCCTAAATTTCTTAATTTTTTGTAAAAAACTATAATATATATTTATTTATTAATTATTTAAGTAGACAAATTTATAGATTGAATAAGATGTTAACTGTAATAAATTTTGTTTTGAAATTACATATTTTTAATACAAATTTAAATGCAAATATATTTGAAAAAATTCTGAGAGTTGTTCTTGAAAATATTTTTATGGTAATTTTTCTTATGAAATGTTATATGGATTCGTTTACAACTTGTTTACATTTTAGTCTTTCTTTTTGCTGTTGATTGAGTTTGATAACCACTGTGCTGCCTGCTGCTGAAATGTCCTACATTCATTTGTATAGGGAGATTTCATAGATTTTCATAGATTTTTAAATGTCAATAATTAAAAAATAAAATTGAAAACATAATTTTTTTTATTCCCGATTTTTGTTTTATTTTTGTTTTATAGAATTATCCTTTAAATTTTTATCTTTTAAAATTTTCTATGTAAAATTATCATTTAAAATGATTTTGAGATTCTTAATATTTTCTTATTATATTTCTTATTTTTGAAAATTATTTTAGTTATTAGATTATTTACATATAATAATCCAAATCGATATTAATCATGAAATATATAGTTTGGATTAGAAATGATCTATATTAATTAAATTTATCCAATTAACCCTTGCTATTGCTTTGCTATTATTGATTGCTAAATTGACTGGTTAAAAAATGACCTAGTTATCATACATTAATCTTCAAACTGCGAAATTTGATGTTTTAGGTTAGAAATAATTTACAAAGATCCAAATTTATCTAAAATTATCTATTATGCATTATTATTGACTGCTGTAAATCGAATTGATTAAAAATAATTCAATCATTGAGCCGCGAGAATTAATAAAGTTCTGAAATTTTAAAATTTAACAATCTTTTGTCAAAGTAAAAATTTCATTTAAAAATATTTATTGGTGATTTGGATATTATTATTGAATAATTCGAAGGAATTTATTTATTATCTTTTTGTATTAAGAATAAAAATATAAAAAATTGATTTTTTGATATTATTTTTTTACGTTTATTATTCTTTTTTTAAAGTAAAATTTATGAAAATTATATCTATATGAATATGAATTCTAAAAAATTGTTACTTTATTTATTTATTCTTAATTTTTCAATAATATAAAAAATATATTATAATAACATATAATATACTTTTAACAAATAATAAAT